TAGTGAGTTCAGGGCAGCCTGGGCTGCATCTCCATCTATGTCACAGGAATCACAGCCCCCAGGCTGTTGTGTGGCCTGGAGAGTTTCATTTTGAGATACATAGTAGATCCCTGGTCCTGCCTCTCTCCTCTTGACTTTAGTTCATCAGTGTTTGACTTGTTTGGGTTCTGTTGTTGGGAGTTATTGGGAGTCACTGTGCTCTCAGCTATTTCTTGGGTATTGCACAGTTTTCCATCTTCAGCGAGCTGAGCTGCCTTGTCAGGAGTCTGCCTTCACTTCTGTGCTGTTCTTAGGGTTGTGTTAGAAGTGAAAATGTGAATTCCCAAGTGTGAGTGGTCTTAAGTTACACTTTCCAGTTGCTCCATAGCTGCTGTCCCTATGGGAACGCCTGAACCTGCGTTCTTGTGCGGATGGCGTTCCTGTGCGGATTGTGTTCCTGTGCGGATTGTGAAGAGCGTCTTCAGTCCTCTTCTACACTCACATTTATCTTGCTTTACGTTAAGTTGAATTTCCAGGTGTTTACCGATCCTTCTCTGTCTTCATGCACGAGAGCATGTGTGTGTGTGTGTGTTGTCCATTTATTGCCTTTGCTACTTTTCTACTATGACTTTATTTTTTTTATTTTAGATGTTATTTTCCAAATTTTGATACTTTCTTAACTTTATTTATTTAGGTATTTAAACACCCAAATCTCTTTTATCTTTAAAACACATTTTCTACCATTACTTAATGATCTTACTGTAAAATTTAATGTGTGAGTCTTTAAAGAAAAATTTTAACTTATCTTAATACAGAACATGGCCTCCCATCACACTTTAAGCAACCACTTTTCCAACACTATCTGAGAAGCATAGGAAGAGAAGAACCGGAGTGGCAGGGACACGGGAGAAACTGTGGCAGGTAGAGACGGCTTTCTCATGTCTCAGGGGCCAAGGACGACCAGCGCCTGGCTCAACAGCCCCTAGGCCTCTCGAAAGAGTCTGCTGCAGAAAGCTCCCAATGCAGCCAGTGACGAGGCTCTCAGCACAATCCTTCCTCTCAGACCCACAGCCAGCCACCCCCACAGGCAGCTGCAGCCCAGTGAGCTCTGCTACATATGATCAGGGTCACAGGACTGCTGCATAGGGGTGGGTAGGCTTTTCAGCTGCTGAGGAGCACAGGGGTTGGGGCAGGAGAGCTGCTTCCAGTGCAGAGAATAGTCTTCAGAGTATATTGCAAGTGGGACTCAAGCGGGCAGCCAGCTGCTTCCTCCTCTGTAGCTGACTACTTCCAACAGACTGCAATACTCTCTGCTTAAAAGCCATTCTCCACAGAGCCCCCTCATTTTAAAGACAATGCTGATTTTCCGGTAACACTTCTATATTTTGTCATGAGTTATCTATTTTGTTCCTCATTTGCCTTTTTATTCTTCCACTGTAGGAAACACCTCTTCATGATTCGGCTTTTTTGAGACATGGCCATGTAGCCCAGGCTATGTTGCTGGGATGATCTTGAGTTACTGAGCCTTTTGCTTCTGGAACTCTCTGGAGTTCTGGCATTAGGGGCATGTGCTGTTAGATCTGAAAACAAACAAACAATTCCACAACTGTCTGATTAACAGAAGCTATATTTAGAAATGACCAGCTAGCTGCCTCTCTCTCAGTCAGGACTTCAGAGAGCAGCCCTTCACTGGCTTTTGAGGCCCTTTTTATGGGAAAGGGCTAGAGTTGATAGAAAACAGCTGTCCAGATAACTGTTGTTAGCACCCGGACAGAAGAGTGAGGGACCCTGGACTCAAGGCTGCCCTGGGCAGATAAGTACAAGAATTCATCATGTGGAAGGGGAGGCATCAGGTTATCTGAGAAGACACACTTTTGTAAGGCAAAAAGGTAGCCATAAGTCACAGGTTCCAGAGTTTAGCACAGCAAAGGGCAGGCATACATCATAGGGTCACAAGTTTGGTTTAGGCTGAAATGGTTTGCAGGATACATTAGGCTTAGGAAACTTGCAATGCTTAGAGTCTTAATAATGATGTATACCAACACGGCTCCCTAACAACAGTGTGGCTCTGTAGAGGGAAAAGTTATGGATACTGGGTATATAGAATCCTTTTTAGATATAAAATATTCTTTAGGCTTTCTTTAGGAATGTGGAAAGACCAGTCACCACTACTGGAACTGGCCGACCCGCAAAGAGAAAGGAAAGAATGCAATTTAGTCAGGTGGAACCAAGCTGAGAACCATAGTGACAGGGCAAGGCCGAAGTGACAGGGCAAGGCGGAAGTGACAGGGCAGGACTACATTCTTGAGAAAGATAAGTGTATAGAGAGTTTTCATCTGATCCTGACTCATGTAGGTTGGGTTCCTTTGGAATGTTCCACTATTTTTATGTTATACCACCCTAGCAACCCCCTCACCCCCTCCTCATTTCCTTGGTTTGTGGTTTTTCCCTTTAAAACCCGTTCCAAACTGGCAGTCGGGGTCAATTCAGCTCCTGTGTGGGCATGCGAATTGACCGGCAGCTAGCTGTCACGCCCTAATAAATAACCTCGCAATTGCTCCGGTATATGGTGTCTCGAGTAGATTACTGGGTGGTCGCGACTTTCTGAGACTTGAGAGAGGGTCTCCCCTCTGCAGAGGTCTTCAGCTCCTGCTTTGGTTTTACAGAACTACACCAATTCTAGCTTTATGTGTTGCTGGGGATTGAATCCATGGTATTGTGCTTTCTGGGCAAACACTCTACCCACTGAGCTATTTCCCCAACCTCCAGCCACTTGGTGTTATATCAGTCTTCCCCTTACCCTCCGTCTTAAAAGGACTCTAAGAGTACCGAACTATACTGTGTGCATTTATTTAGCGCCTCTCAAAAAGATGACATGGGCAATTTGCTATCTTGGGACTGTGGATTCCAGAGCCTCTTCAGAGCAGAGGGGTGGCTGGTCCTGGCAGTTCTGTATCCCAGTGCCTACACCTGAAGTTCCTGGTCACATGGCCTTGGGTTTACTCTGATGCTGAATTATGTTCCCAGGCACATCTCCTGCAAACTCAGCTCCAGCAGGCCTCCCAATCTATTTTGCTTGCCTCTGGGTTCATGTTAATCTTGTCGTTGTTGTTTTAGTTTTTGTTTTTTGGGTTTTTTTTTGAGACTGGGTTTCTCTGTGTAGCTCTGGCTGTCTTGGAATTCACTCTGTAGACTAGGCTGGCCTCAAACTCAGAGATTCACCTGCCTCTGCCTCCCGAGTGCTGGGATTAAAGGTGTGCACTACCGCCTGGCTTCATGTAAATCTTTTATTTTTAATTTTGCCTACTTACACACCTTCCTAAGATTTTTTTTTCTTTTTTTCTTTTTCTTTTTTTTTTTTTTTTTTTTTTTTTGGTTTTTCGAGACAGGGTTTCTCTATGTAGCCCTGTCCTGGAACTCACTCTGTAGACCAGGCTGGCCTCAAACTCAGAAATCCGCCTGCCTCTGCCTCCCAAGTGCTGGGATTAAAGGCGTGCGCCACCACCGCTCGGCAAGATTTTTCTTTTTATGTAATTAATTTATGACTTAGTCTCTGATTGCTCTCCACTCTGCTCTTCTTGTCAGAGTTCAGCAGGGATCTTGTAGGACAATCAGTCAAGAATGATTCAAGAATTGCTGCTCGTTCTTCACTCCTACCCTTTTCCCTGCATTGCAGAAAGCTTGGCTGGGTAGCCTCCTATTCCTTGCCACCTTGGTGATCCCATCCAAAGCAGGATGCACTATTGAAAACCGTGAGAGACTTCCAAACCAAAAGTATGATGGTAAGTCCTGGTTTTCCAGTATTTTTAATGCCATTCCAGCCTGGTAGATACAATCTGTAGATATGACCTAGTATATAGGGCAGATGGAGAAGTATTGGAATATACACTGGAAGAAGGATTCGGGCAAATACAGAAATAGTAAGAAAGTTCTTCTCAATTCTAGCTAGATGAGATTTCCCAGAGAGCTTTGAAACTTAGCCCAATCAGGCCCATTGAAGAACAGCTGAATGGGAATCTCTGGGGGCTAGAGTTGACCAGTAAACACTCTCTGACTTTTACATGCAGTCAGGGATAAGAAACTGCACTCAAAATTCAATGTACGTGATCATTCCTGTAATCTTTTTTAAATGCAGAGCATTCTCTCGTGGTTGCATGCGCACGTGTGTGTGTGTGTGTGTGTGTGTGTGTGTGTGTTATGAATGGTCCTGGAGAGTGTCATATATACCAAAACAAACACTTTAATACTGTACTAGTTTCATTCTGCTGCTATGATGAAACGCCCTAACCAAAGCCAATTTAGGGGAGGAAAGGTCTTATTTGCATTGCACTCCTAGGTTCATTGTGGAGAGAAGTCAGGTAGAAAAACTCAAGCAAGAACTTGAAAGTATTTCCCGGATGGCATTAGTCTGTATCATGTTGACAACTAAAACTAAGTATGATGACAACTAGACCATATGTCTTAGCCCAGGACAAGTCTAATAGCCAAGTAACTTCCTAATCACTACTAGGTTAAAAAGGAAGGTCTTATTTATTCTCCAATGTCTTCTCTAAAACAAAATCTAGAAGGATTTAAGCTTGCTTAAGAAACATTATCAGGCCAAGCATGGTAGCTCAAGCCTTTAATCCCAGCAAAGGCAGTTGAATATATGAGTTTGAGGTTAACCTGGTTTACACAGTAAGTTCTAGGCTAGCCAAGGCTAGCAATGCCTTGTCTCTAGATAGATAGATAGATAGATAGATAGATAGATAGATAGATAGATAGATAAATGTTATCAGAGCCAAGAACTACAGGACTGCAATGTGCAGGACTCTAGCCGTTTTGAATACAAAAGCATTGATTGTTTCTGACACCTTTACAATTGCCTACAGTCACATGTCAGCAGCTCTGACTGACAAACTTCCTGTTTGCTCCTGTTGTGAGACTCTGGGATTTGCATCCTTTTAGAATGCGTGGATGCTAATGGTGGCAAGCATTTCCTCAACACTACCTGGAAGAAGGAGGAATGTGCGTGGTGTTTCTGTGGCAAAACGGCAATCACCGCTGGTTTGGCCGGCCCCAGAGAGCCACTCTTGAGGACTTCTGCTTTGCCTTGTTTAGTTTAGTTTTGTTTGGTTTTGAGACAAAGTCTCCTTAGGTGGCTCTGTCATCAAACTCCAGGGCTCAAATAGTCTTGCTACCTCTTGTCTGTAATGTGTACACCGTCTGAGAAGCACAGGCAGACATGTTTGTGTTTTATCCATATGAATTTATTGAATAACAGTAAATTCATAAGCTACGTTGATTTATTTTTAGCATAAATGACATTTATCTCTGTGTATGTGTGTGTGTGTGTGTGCGTGCTCGCGCGCGCAAGCGCATGAACTTGGGCACCAATTTGTTGCTGGAATTTCCAACCCCAATAAGCCCATATAAAAACATATTATCCAGTTATTATAGTCATAAGCTATCTGCCTAGATTTCGCAGACCTAACTTATCCCCAGCTATAAGACCCCTTGCTACTTGTGTTTCTCCTGGCCATGTAGTTCTGGTCCACTGTGTCTTCCTCCTCCTCTTCCTCTGTCCTCTCTCCTTACCTGTCCTCTCATCCTCCTCTCCCCATCTACCTGGCCCCACTCTCAAACCTCCAGTCCTACCTTTCCCCTCCACTGCCCAATCACAGGCTCTAGCCTTTATTGACCAGTTAAAACAGGGAGAGGGTTCACATGAGACCACATTCGTACTTGATGGACTGCTCATCAGGGGAAACACACGCTGAGGATTGAACCTAGGACTTCACACTTGCTAAACAAGCACTCTACCACGGAGTTGTAACTCCAACACAAAGAGCAGGTTTAGACTCACAGGAAAACTAAGCATTGGTCCAGAGATTTCCCATATACTCTCTGGCCCCACATGCCCAGCCTTGTCCATTACCAACATCCTCCACAGAGGACACAGTACCATAGTGACTGTGCCTGCACTGAGCTGTCACCAGCACTAGGGTCTGCAGTATGATCTACTTTGGACTTTGGAGAGGAGTTCTTAGTCCAGTTTCTCATGGTAAAATATAAATAATACAGAATTTACTACTTTTGGCATTCATTTTAATTACATTAAACATATTTATGTGTTGTGTAACCTGACCATTTCCAGTGGCTTTTTATCACAAGCTGGTACCTGACTGTCCTCTTAGCTACATGGGAAGCTGAGTCATGAGTGTCACTTGAGTTCAGGAATGTGATGTTGTTCTGCTAGAAGCTCAGTGTTTGGCTCTAGCTGGCCTGGAACAAGCTGTGCAGACCTGGATGGCCTTTAACTCGGAGATGTGCCTGCCTCTGCCTCCCACATGTCGGGATTAAAGTTGTGTACCACCCCACACAGCCTTGAGCTCAGCAATTTTAAGTCAGATTTGGCAACATAGTAAGACCTCCATAGCCGGGCGGTGGTGGCGCACACCTTTAATCCCAGCACTTAGGAGGCAGAGGCAGGTGGATTTCTGAGTTCGAGAGTTTGAGGCTAGCCTGGTCTACAGAGTGAGTTCCAGGACAGCCAGGACTACACAGAGAAACCCTGTCTCGAAAAACCAAACCAAACCAAAAAAAAAAAAAAAAAAAAAAAAAAAAAAAAAAAAAAAAAAAAAAAGAAGAAGAAAAAGAAAAAAAAAAGACCTCCATAAAAAAATAAAAATAAAAAATCAAGTGAACAAACTCAAACCCCAACCAAATAAAAATCTAAGACTCCATATTCACCCACCATGCACTCCTCAGACCCTTTACCAGTCCCTGAAAGTGATTGCTCAGCTGCTGTCTTTTAGGAATGTAACTGCTGTAAACCTGGTGCAAGTAGAGAAATGATAGAGTGTTTGTCCTCTGAAGACCACTCTTCTTCACACAGTATAGAGCTTCCTCAGAGTTTATCCGTGCTGCCGCATCGTTGGTCTAGCCTTTCTTTCCAGGCTCCTAGCCCCATCCTGGGGCAGTGCACACTCACTCGCCCCTTCCTGGGCAGTTGCTTGCTTCCAGCTGAGTTTCTTTTTCTGTTTTCAAGGTTTTTTTTTTTTTTTCTAAAGCTTGGCTATCATCTTGACTCTTAAATCTCCATCCCACACAGGTTCCTAAAGACAAGCAAGTTTTTCCAGTGATGTACTCTTGAGGCTAGTCTTGTGGGCACTGTAGCCTTGACTGTACAGTGATGCAGCCTGAATGAGGCAGAGGGAAGAGCTGTGTGGTGCGAAGACAACCTTCAGGGTGCCTGGTGTGCTAACCCTGTGCTGCTGCTCTGTGGACGTCAAGGCCAGAGCAGGCCGGAGTTGTGCAGATGGGTTCTGCTGCATTGCTGTGAATGCTAAAGGTCTAGTATTTGAATACATGGACGACAAAGCACCTGCAGCTGAGGCCACACCAGCCTCTCCACTCCTAGCCTCTCCAGCTTCTGACAGCTTCTGTTCATCTTCTTTGGCCAGCTGAATCTTGCATGGACAGAAGTAGTTCTCTTTTTGTCTTAGCAGTGCTGGGATTAAACCCAGGGTCTCAGTCTGGGTTTATGCCAACTCAATAGAGGTACTGTGTAAAGTAGCATTTTCCAAGTTTGCTTCTGAATCCAAACTTTTACCAATTGCCTTGGACAGACATAGAACTTTAAGCACAGTGCTTGAGTTCTGCTAAAGTTATGTGTCTCAAAAGTTCTGCCTGCACGTACTAAGCATGCCTCATGGTAAACGTAGAGACAATCGAGAGAAACATGCAACTGAGAAGTAGGCTGACAGACTGCCCCAGCAGGCTCCCAGGTATTGGCTGGTCACCAGGGGTCACAGCTGAATCTTGATTCCCCCCCCCCCCCACCGTGGCTTCAGATATCTAACCTTATCTGTGACCCTTGAGTGTGGTTGAAGCCCCACAGGTTAAGGACTGGTAAACCATTCCTCCATCAAATGGTAAATAGATCTCTATAGTGACTAAATGTCCCCAGACCGTCAGCATTGCTGTCACAGAATTTTGACACAACTCTTCTGTGATTACCAGTGGGCCCGGGGTACCGTCAGCATTGCTGTCACAGAATTTTGACACAACTCTTCTGTGATTACCAGTGGGCCCGGGGTAGAAAAGAGTAAAGTTGGTCCTGGTGGTCACGTGGGAGGATCCTGATGCTGGAGTCTAAGTACCTTTGTCTGACTCTCATTCCCTCTTATAGTGTGCCACAGCAAGGTTTAAGTCTCTAGTTCTCAGTTCCAACTTGCTATGAGAACTAAGTGAGATTCTGAACATAAACTCATCAACCCAATAGATATTTTAGGTCTTCTCTTTGCTTGGCCTATACAGTGAGTCTGATAGTGGCTGGCACTTGGTGAAGGCTCAAATGCCCTTTTCCCTTTTCCTTCTGTAACACCTGTCCCATCTGGCACTGCTCCACCCTGGGGAAATGTGCCTATTTGGCAATTCTGTTCCAAACAAGTTTCTGGAATGGCCTAACCTCCTGTCCGATCTTCATGCCGGCTGTTCTTAAAAACTTCATTTTTTTCTAGAGAATATGCAGATTTGGATTAAGCTTTCTGTTTGGGAAATTTCTGGACCCTTTTCACCTTCTATAGATGCTGCCCAGATCTGCAGATGTCCAGGGACTGGAGGCCTGGGCAGAGGGACCCAGGGGCAGGGCATGGGAGATAGCTGGCCTTTGTCTGTTGCTCTTTCCAGGCCCAGGTTCCTGGAGTGGAATGTGAGAAGCAAAGGGCCAAGGTCATCAGGACTCTAGCTTTGGATCTGCTGATATCTGTGTCTTCCCTTCTCCTTCTCCTCCTATGGCTTCTTCTACAGTATTCAGTCTGGATTGCATTATAGTGTGCACCCATGGGCTGGAGACATGGCTCTTCCGAAGGACCCAAGTTTGGTTCCCAGCACCCATGGCAGGTGCTCACAATCGCTTGCAGCTCTAGTTCTATACGATCCTACACACTCTTCTGGCCTCTATTGGCACCTGCATACATGTGGCAAATACACACACAAATAAAAATAAACATAAAAAACAAGCATTCAGTACCACACCCTTTGCCATAGCAACGCGTACCCATACACCAGTGACAGGAGTATATTTCCTAACAGAAACTTGTAAACAAAATGGCTATCTATTTCAACCACTGCTTGACTTCTAAACCTTAGACACTGATGACCTTAATTGACTTAGTTTGTGTGTGTATGTGCACACGTACACGCATGTGCTATGGCATGTGTGTACAGATCAGGGCACAGTTAAAACCAGTTTACTAGGCTTGGCAGCAAGGATCTCTGCCCACTGAGTCATCTCACCAGCCCACTTAAAAGTCTTTTTTTCTTTCTGTAGTACAAAATATATTATACAGAATTTTTCATTTAAACAATTTTCAATAGAACTCTTCAAGGACACAACATGGATTTCTAATATTGTGCAGGCATCACTGCTCTTTCCAACACTTTCAAAGAGCCCAACTAAAACTATGTTTCCATTAAGCACGGTTCTCCATTCCTCCGCCCTGCCCCTGGTAGCCTCCACTCTGCATTCTGTCTGTGGATCTGCTGTCCTTGATCGGCCCTGTAACCAGTAGGCATTTCTCTGTCTGGCTAATTGCTTTTAGCAAGTTTTTCAAGGTCAGTCCACGTTGCAGCATGTTCTTATTTCATTCCTTTTACATGGAATGGTACTCTACAGGGTTGCAGGGTCACGTTTTGTTTACTCTTTCACATGCCGATCAATGCTTGTTACTTTTTACTGCTAGTGAATAACACTGATGTTGTGAATCTTCATGTACGTTGGAAGACGCTTTGCAATAATTTTGGGACAGAAGACTAGGAGTAGGAACCATTTTGTAAATGGTTCTCCTTTGACACAAATCTCTTTGGCAAATTTTCTAGAGACATCTCTTATGAGGCCTTTTCTGGCCAGCTGGTAACGCCCTCTGCCTCTATGGTCTGCATAGTGCTTCTCCGGGATGTGTGGCTCCTTGGTGAGAGCTGAGCTTGACACAGTTACCACATGGTCCACAGCAGGAAGAAGGTACAGCTGAGATTGTTGTTGTTGTGAGAAAACCTTAGCAAACAGCACCGTACGTCACGATTTGTTCTCTTAGCTTCTCGTTAAAGAACTTCAGGTGGAGCACATGAGATGGCCCGTGGCTTTAATATCCAGTCTCTCTGCTTAAGCAGTACTAGTTCTCCTTTGTAATCACAGGCTTTTCCACCTGTGCCCAAGTTCCCCAAAATAACAACTCTGAGACTTAAATTATTCATGAATAAATGCTTAGACCATAAGCTTGGGCTTGTTCCTGGTGGCTCATAACTTAATTAACCCATTAAACTAGTCTAAGTTCTGCCACGTGGCTGGTTACCTCTCCTTCAGTTTCATGCTACCTGTTACTTCAGCATTTGGGGCAAATCTCCCCTCCTGCCTGACTCTATCCCAGAAATCCTCTCTCCCTATCAGAATCTCCACCTCCCTACTTCCTGCTTCAGCTAATGAACCTTTTATTGATAGGTGATGCTCTCACACATTGCACAAAAGATTCTCTCAATCCTTCTTTCCTTCTCTTAACAAAACCAAACAGGATGTTGGCTCGCTCACTTCTGAAGCATCAACACTGCTGACGTCAGAACTTTTGCACGGTCATTTGTCTCAGGCATTCTGCACCTCATCCCTTCTTCCTTGGCTGTCTCCTTCCCTGAAACAGCCTCCTCTTCTTCCAGAGTTACAGCAGACTAATTTCCCTTATCGATGATGTCTCACTGTGGGATGCAGAGACATCATCCTTGCCTCCGCCCTCAGTTTTTCTTTCCTTCCGATATCATGGTCACTAATCTCTGGTGGGCGTTTGAGAATGAATGTACAGAGTTTATGATTTGTATGAAGCATGCCTGGAGCCTGGATACCCACAAGCTCTAAGAGAGGGGCGTAGGGAGAGAGAGAGAGAGAGAGAGAGAGAGAGAGAGAGAGAGAGAGAGAGAGAGAGAGA